CACGCACGCACGCATACACACACACACACACACACACATGTCCCACATGCGGTATTGATCATACACCTACGGCAACAGCTGACGGATCTCCCTCTTTCTTACTAGACGAACGACGAACACAGCACTCTGAGGAGGAAAATAGACTTCTATATGAACCACCGGCAGAGCGATGTGCTCATAGTTTATCACCACCAGGGAGAGCTGTTGCGGATCATATCCTGCAGCAGCTGAATGCCCTTGYGTTGGACCRAYCCTCCCTGTCGTCRTCTGCCCATAGAGAAGGAATACATACTGAGGAAGCCCAAGAAAGATGCTCCATGCCGTTTTGTGATGACCCGCCGGAGATTCAACTAGCATGTGGTTCACATACCTTGTGCCGTGAGGATTATGAAGGTATAGTCCATGCGAGTTTTTGCTTCTATACGTACGATGACAGTCAGTACTGTACTCATGTACGGCACCCCGACATGTCATGCCCAATTTGTAGACAGGGGCTGGAATGGCAATGCCTCTATAATTGCAGTCGACGTGCCTCTGTGTCCCTAGCATGTACGAGCCACGTAGCCTGTGACATCTGTCTGCGCTGTGCCATTCGATGCAGTAACTGTGACTGCGAAAATTGGATGCGGTGCATCCATAGCGCACACTCGAACCGGTCCTGTCTGGTCTGTAGGGGTGGCCACTCGCCATAGTTAGTGTTTTTTTTTTTCCTTTTTTTTTTCTTTTTTTCTTTTTGCTAGAGTAGTCTGCTTCAGCGGTGAATATTTAGAAATCTGTGAAACCCGTCATACACCTTTCCCCTGCTCTTTGCATGTCATACTCTATCCTGCCCTCCACATATTTCTTTCCTTCCCTTTGCCCCTCCCTCCCCTTCCCCATACTCCTAGAGAACACCGCCTTCTATCCCTTACCCTCCACCCTCCCGTCCACTCCCTTTGTACTACTAACAAATACATACGAATGAGCATCATTAAGAGAATAGATGATATGAAGATCAGAAATGAAATGAACGGAAGTATGAAGATGAAGGACGTACACAAAGACTGTATAAGCTGAAGATTTGAAGCGAAATGAACAGGAGTATGAAGCTCTGAAGAGATGCACAGGAGCATACCTTCCCTTTTACTCTGCCTCCTGAAATAACGTGCAAGTGGGCCGTGAAGGTACACGGGGATGTGGGCAGCTGCCGCTCAACCACAACCAAAGTGGGCAGCCTTGTGCGTAAGAGGCACAATAAAAGGGGAGCTGCAAGAACAATGAAAGAGGTACCCCAAGGACAACCAAAAAACTGTCTAATTATAAAATTGCTTTAATATGTTGGACATCTCAAATGCTCTCGTTGTCTGCAATAGGACAAAGACTGCCTTGATTCTGAATCTATTCACCTGGGTGGAATTGGGGCTGTTGTGGGGAAAATCTAAAACAAACACACACTACACACACACACACACACACACACACACACACACACTGCTCTCGTTGTCTGCAATAGTACAAAGACTGCTTTGATTCTGAATCTATTCACCTGGGTGGAATTGGGGATGTTGTGGGGAAAATCTAAAACACACACACACTACACACACACACACACACACACACACACACACAAACACACACACACACACACACACACACACACACACACACACACACACACACAAACACACAGAGAAGACGAGTGAATGCAGAATTTGATGCAGCTGAGTGCCGCTGTGAATTCAACTTGGCTGCTGAATTGCGCAGCCTAATTTCAACATTAAGCTGCTGAGTTCTGCAGGCTCTGTTCGGCAGCAGTCTAAGCAGATCCAATAGTGGAGCATAAACAGTGGAACACAAGGCAATTGGCAAACAACAGTGGAGACTCTGACCACAGTTCACTGCTGCTGCTCTCGTATGTTGCTGTTGATGCTGACCAGGTGCTGGCTGCTGCATTAATCTCCTGCGTTGCATGCATTAAGTTTTCCTGGGACCGGCCGTTTTGAGAGAAAAAAAAAAGTTGGTCGTATGTTGACCACGAGCTGGTGCGTTAGTCAGACTTATCTGCTGAGCTCTGTGATCTCATTTCGGCAGCAAACCCCAGGTCACATGATCGAACCCCCTGTGCTCCCACGGTGTCAATGAGATCTGACCGAGCCACTGTTATGACGTGCTGACGTCAGCAATCTAAGCTTAGCAGCAGTCGAAGAAGATCCAACAGTGGGAGGAGCAGGAGAGTGGTGGACAACTGAAGCAGCGGAAGGCGATTGGTTGGTTGTATATTGCTGTGAATGGTAACCAACTGATACTGTTCTGACGAGAGCGCAGCGGATCTGCCGAAGCGAACCCTGCTGCTGATGTTTCTGCCATGCGAGGGAGATTCTGTGGAAACGTGTTGTGACATGTGAGGTGTGTCGCTGCTGCCAAAGCTATACGAAGCCTGACGCGTGAGGGAGCTTCAGCGGAAAAGTTTTGTGACATGCGCGGTGTCTCTGCCAACTGGGTTTTGGACACGTGAGGAAGCTTCAGCGGAAAAGTTTTGTGACATGCAAGGTGTCTCTGCCAACTGGGTTTCGGACGCGTGAGGGAGTTTCTGCGCGAAGTTTGGGATTGTGAACTGAATAAGATCGGTGGTTTTACTTTTTTTTTTTTTTTTTTTTTTTTTTTTCAATTTGCCGAGCTGCTCGGGAGAGATACCGACTGCATGGGACAATGGCAAGCGCCACGGGACAACGACACAGGAGATACGCTGACTGATTTGTGACGCAACAAACGTTTGGCGGAGGTGTTTGGGTGGAGGTGAATCTGGTTCTGGTCAAAACCCATGGTTAGATGCTGAGAGCGAGTAGGGAGGGTGATCTTCTCAGTGACACGTGGATCGAAGGAGGCGTGTCAGGGGGGTTGTGGGGTTGGCAGAGGGTGCAGGGCGGCGGAGGGCGGCGAAGGGCGGCGGAGGGTGGGCGACGGAGGGCGGTGGAGGGGAGGGGACAGAGGAGGTGCAGGACAGCGGCATGAAATTGGTGCCCTTCACAAAGCGGGAACACACTGCGAGAGACTTGACGAACTGGTTCTGCAGAAAGCCCGTGTGGGACAAATGCACGGGCTTCTGGTTTGCGCGGCACCCGTTTCTTGGAGGCAAGACGAGATGGAAAAACAACAACATCAGGATGAAACTTCGACAGGACCAACGGATCTGGCAGGCGAGTCGACCCGTGCTGACGCAGTGGAGATGACAACTGCTACGGTATGGATATGGAGTTGGCTGATGCAAGCTCAGTCATAGCCATATATAGCAAAGGCAAGGCTCCCGGAAAACGAAGTCTAAGGGGATTATTACGGTGTCATGTGCAGCAGCTATTCTGTAATAAATACTAATAATTGCTAACACACTTGGAACTTGGAAGCTAGGCTACCAGAGTAGCCCGGGACCAAGTGCCCGGCAGGGCCAAAAAATAATAATAATAATAATTAAAAAAAATCAAATTTAGTTTTTAATACTTTTTATTACTTTTTAAATTTAAAATTTATTTTGTATTTTAAATTTGGTAAATCGGTAAAGAATTTTGATGTGACCCTGAGGCAAAAGTTGTTCAGTTTATTTCTGTGCATAACATAGTTTTTTTTTTCGTTTTTTTTTTTTTCTTCTTTTTTTTTTTTAATGCTGGGACCTTCCCTGGTCCTTGCATGGCCGGGCTGCCCGGGAAAGCAAGGTGACCTGGGCGGCCCGGTTGGTAGCCTAGCTTGGAAGGGTTTTTTTTTTTTTTTTTTTTTTTTTTCAATTTGTGTACTCCGAGTTGTGTTCACCAGTACTCTGGCTTTGTGTTTCCTTCTTCTTTTTTTTTGGACCGTTTCTCGATTTATGTGTGTCATCCTTTGTGTTTCTCCAATTTATCTGCGGCGCAGAGGCCATGCTAATCTTCTCTGTATCGTTCCAATTTGAATGGATGTCCCGAATGACTTGGGCTTTGTGTTTCCCTCCACATCCACATTCGAAAGTTTGAAAAATGATCTCTGAATTGGGTCAAGAATCTCCTCTTACATTCACTTTCGATAAATGTTCTTCGAATCTGGTCAACATGTTCTCTCAGATGCACTCACAAAAGGAGGGCAGCAGCTATCAATGGGCTTAGCTCAGTTGGTACACCCATAAACTGTCGGAAAGCGGACCTGAGTTCGAACCCAGGTGCAACCAATTAGATGAATAAAAAATTGAAAATTCAATTCCTGAATTGCCTGGCCCTGGTCAGTTTCACGATGATCTCTGATATCTCAAGGCTGTTGCCCTTTTCAGAACAGTAAAAAAAAAAGGAAAAAAAAATAAAAAATTAAAAAAAAGCAAACCAAATGAGGGCAGCAAGAAGACTTGTGATGGGAGGAGCGAAGGTGGAGAAAGGTTCGCGTGGCAATGTGGCTTCCCTTCTGTTCTGCGGGGCAAACGGTTACTTTTTTCTGCGGTGAGATTATAACCCACATCGATTTCTTTGCCGCTTTGTCTACCGACATGTGGGTTGTAATCTCACTGCAAAAAAAAAAAAAAAAACTAAATGTTGCCCCCCTCATGTGCTTGCTTTTTGGAAGTTTTTCCAGATACTTGTTTCATAAAAAAAGAAGTTCCCATGGGACATTACTAAGTCAATGGGACCACAACAAGCATGGAACAACGCATATTATGTCCGCTGGGACATGACTAAATTCAATGACCGTCAGATGACGAGATCAAATGAGGGTAATCTTTCCTTTTTAACAGGACCAAAGTGTATGATGGCTTCCCGAGAGACAAAAATAGGGGAATAGAAAAGAAAGAAGAAAAAGATACGAGGTTGCTGCTTGCCTCCCTTGTACTTTTGAACAACAAAATGCACCATTTATTTAACTTATGAGTTAAGTGAAACTCATAAAGTTAAGTGAAACTCATAAAGTTAAGTGAAACTGGTAAGTTAAAGTGAAACTGGTAAGTTAAAGTGAAACTGGTAAGTTAAAGTGAAACTGGTAAGCTAAAGTGAAACTGATGAGTTAAGTAAATGTGCATTTGGTCACTGAGGGTTTCTGCTTGCGAGGTTATCTCATCTTAATTCATGCGAGTGCAGCAGCTACTGAGTTTTGCTTTGCTCACATTGGACTTGTGTTTTTCAGGAACTCGAGTTGGATTTGCGGCTCCTAGAGGCTTTGGAAATATACCCACCAAAGAGACTGCAAGGTATGTGTTTCTCTGTCACTATTGAACACATTATCGTGTCCAATCACGATTGAATGTATGCACAGGGGCGGGTGGGGTGTGTGTGCGTGTGGAGAGAGAGAGAGACCGACGGACGGACGGACGGACCCCCGACCGCCAGCCAGCCGGACAGACAGACAGGCAGACACGCATGCACAGATGCACGCACAGATGGACAGAGACCCATGCACAGACACACACGCACATATGCACAGATGTATAGACAGACGCACATACGCACAGACAGGCACAGACGCACAGAAAGACAGACAGACGGACACATGCACAGATGGACAGGCAGACTGATGGACCGACAGACAGACAGCGGGACATACAGACCGGTGAACAGACGGAGAGACAGACATACAGACTGGCAAACAGACAGAGAGACATACAGACATACAGACGGAGAGACATACAGACATACAGACAAACAAACAAACAGACATACAGACAAACAAACAAACAAACAAACAAACAAACAAACAAACAAACAAACAAACAAACAAACAAACAAAAAAACAAACAAACAAACGAACAATCAAACAAACAAACAAACAAATGGACAGAGAGACAGAGAGACAGGCAGGCAGGCAGGCATGCAGAGGGGAAGGGGGTTGGGGGAGAGGGGGGGGGAGGGGAGGGAGAGGGTGGGCCCCTCTGACTCCTCATACCTCTCTTTTCTTTTTCCTTTCCATTTCCACTTCCAAAGCCGAAAAAGCAATAGGTAATCTAGTGATCGTAAATGATCTATTAAATTCTTTTTAATAGTTTTATCAACAACTGACCAGTGTTTGTTCTCCTGTTGTCTTTTGCTGGTGTTTGTTTACATACAAACTAATTGCAGGGGTTCATGGACACTTCCTCCTGTTTGGTCTCATTGACTTTCTGCATAGAAGGTCAGTGCTATGGGCAGATCAGTGGTAAATTACTAAACAAATCAAAAGAACTTCAAAAGAAAAAACTTGCTAGTACTCCACATAATCTCAAAAAAAAAAAAAAAAAAAAAAAAAAAAAACAATTGTCCGGACTCTGGATTCATCCCTGCATGATTTCTGTATTGTTATGATCCTGGCTATTTCACAGTGCAGAACTCCAAAGAAGGAGACTGCAGTGATGAATCCAGAGTTCAATTGCAACACTGAAATGAGAGAAGTTGATAAGGGGAATAGACAAAGGAAGAAGGAGAAGAACAAAATGAAGAAGAAGAAGAAGAAGAAGAAGAAGAAGAAGAAGAAGAAGAAGAAGAAGAAGAAGAAGAAAATGAAAGGCCTTCCACGATTCAGACCCCAAATTCGGGTCTCAGGGTCAGAGGCCCTGGTCAAGAGAGGCCGAGTTCGTCAAATTCAGAAAAGTCACAGTCGGGTACCTCAGCAGTCCAGTCCAACAGGCACCTAGCAAACAGTCACATCTTAGGGGCAAGAGTCGCGTCTCATAATGAAAAGTCGTATTGAAAAGTCGCATCCCACAAGTAAAAGGGCAGTACCACAGGTAAGAGTCGTGACCGAGAGGCAGTAGTCACTGTCCACAGTCAAAAGTCACATTCACAAGTGAAAAGTCATGATTCAAAGGCGCAAGCAGCAGCAGTCCAATGGGAAATTCGGGAAGGTTCCAGGCGTTGACATTCAGAAGCAGACGGGCCATGGGGATGTGGTACCCGGAACCAGTCAGGACCCAAGAAACAGAGGCTGGCACGAGTTGAAGTGCAAACCAATACTACAAAAGGACTGACCAGCCTCCCATTCGGGCAGATTGCTCATTCGCAAGAAGTGCGGAAGTGCTGGTGCACTTGTGCGCTGTAGTGAAGGTCAGAGCGCTGAAGCCAGAGTGCTGCGCTAATGGGGAGAGAGAGAGAGAGAGGAAGTTTTAGCGCTGGCAGGGAGAAGGCAGCCATAGCTGCGCCAGTGCAGAGTGTTAGCGGTAGACTTCAGATAATTAGGAGGCTTATCAGTGGGTGTATTCAGAGTAGATCTTCGAGTAGTAGATGTGTGAGTGCATGTAAGTAGGGAGAGAGCCATAGCTGCACCAGTGCAGA